AAATTTTCAAAAGTTACTTTTAAAACTTGGAAAATCTGTCGAAAAAAGGTGCCGGAACTCCGTTCCAGTGCGTTCTATGACAAAAAAAGCACTGCACAGATGACACCTGAAAGCTCATCTCTGATGTCACCCTTGAGAGCTTGGCTGGGCCAGTTCTTTCTGAGCCCACTGCAAGGGAGGGAGAGGGGACTGGGACTCCAACCCGTTCTACAAGTTCAACAAGATTTTCAAACCCTACAGCTGGGAATCTGAGTAATCTTAAGGCCACCAAGGTGCTATCTGGAAGAACTGCTCTGCCTGCCACTGAGGCTCATGGGCTGGCAACCTCACAAATGGACTACTGTGATGCCCCTTACATGGAGCAATCCTCAAGTCGGGCTTGGAAGCTGCAACTGCTGCAGGATGCTACAGCAAAGGTAAGTAGGGCACCTTTATCAAGATGCTGAAGTTGCCGGAAGTGCACAACTCTGGACTAGGTTACCTGAACAATTACCTTCCCACAAAGGCATTAAGCTCACTTGAGCAGATCTTGCTTGCAGTCCAGTGGCTGGTTGAGAATTTATGGCAGTGACCCAGACGGTCACTTTTTCTATCACAGCAGTCTATTTTAGGCCAGTGGTTTTCAACCTTTCCACAGCTGGGGACCAGTGAAAACAGGAAAACCACCTCGGGACCACTGAGGCAGAAACAAAAAGCACCATACAGCTAATACAGTATTCCGTGTATTAGTTTCCAAACACAATTCCAAAACAATGAAAATTCTCTGAAACAACCAGAAGCCAAGCAACAAAAAACGCCAACAAAATAACAAAATACAGAAATCGGTGCAGTGTGGCTCCCAGCTGGCCCCCACCCAACCGTCTCTCCCCTCCCTGGCCCCCTCGATGGCACCAGCGCATCCTCCGCAAACACGATGCCAACCGAGGAAGAGGGGGTGGAGCACAGCCAATTCCAGCACTGGTCCGCAACGAGCAAGACGTGGACCCCCCATGGACTGGCAGGATATCTCCACGAAATGGCACCAGTCCAAGGATCAGTGGTTGAAGACCGCTGTTTTAGACAACTCCTGAAGATGCACTTGTTCATTACAATACAAACAGGTCTTGATTTTGGAATTCACACACACAGTACAGTTATATCATTGCTCTTTTATTAGTGTACTTCACTTAGATATTGCTTTATTATAAGTGGTCCAGAAACTATGTTAAACAAATAGTACCTTGCCCATAATTTGTGAGAACTGGACCCACAGCAAAAACTTCTGTCCTATTCTATTCTCTCTTCCATTTTGGAATTCATTTCATATTTTGCCTTTCATTCCTTTTAGCTGCAAACCACACCTTCATAACACATTACCAATAAAGGTATGAACTGGGTAAATGTCAGCTTTCAACAACCCCTGATGAATTCTGCAAATGCCCAGAAATGTATTTCCCCCCCTTTCAGAGTGTGCCAGTTAGTCAACTTTAGATGACTTTTAGGATGTTCACAAACCTTGCTTAGGATGGTGAGCATTCCTGTATGACTGTCATCAGCCATCAAAATCTGGACATTTAATATATACAGATGAGAATAAGCACCAACTGTTTGCGTATAAAGAATACGTCATTGTATACTTCTGCAAGTGCTTAATATATGCTATAGCAACATTATTAAAGTATGCATTTATTTTAACATTTACATCCTTCCTTTTTTCCTTTGCAAGAAACCCAAGGGGGTTCACATGGTCCTCTTTCTCTCCATTTTATCCACACAACAACCTTGCAAAGAGGTTAGGCTGAGGGTTAGTGACTGGCTCAAACTCACTCAGTGAGCTTCATGGCCAGGTGAGGCCTAGAACCCGGATCTCCCAAGCAGCTAAGATCTCTGGTGGATCAGATGAACGTCCTGCTACGTCTAGCATTCTGCTCACACAGCGGACAAGCAGATGCCCATGGCAAACCCACAAGCAGGACAGGAGTACAACAGCAGCCTCCAGCCAGGTTCCCCAGCAACCAGCATCCTGCCTCTAATACCGGAAGCAGCGTATAACCATCAGGACTAGAAGCCATTGGGAACCTCCTCCTTCACGATTTTGTCCATGAACGTCCTGCTACGTCTAGCATTCTGCTCACACAGCGGACAAGCAGATGCCCATGGCAAACCCACAAGCAGGACAGGAGTACAACAGCAGCCTCCAGCCAGGTTCCCCAGCAACCAGCATCCTGCCTCTAATACCGGAAGCAGCGTATAACCATCAGGACTAGAAGCCATTGGGAACCTCCTCCTTCACGATTTTGTCCACTCTTCTTCTAAAGTCATCCCAATTGGTGCCCAAACAGGACTGAAATGCACTGTGCAAAGAATCTATGCACTGTCCTGAATCTCCCACGCATCAGCATTGTGAGATGACCCCTTTGGGTTCTAGGATTATGAGACAGGGAGAAAGATCTCTATCAGCTTTCTACCAGCTTCACACAGACTCCTATCATCAAACGCTCAATGCCGCAAAGTGCTCTGCAAAACACTACAAGTGAGAAAACAACTGCCAAATCAAACGACTGGAAAAAACACCCTGTGTGTGAAGATTATTGCTCTGGTAGTTATCAGGAGTGATGTGAATGGAACCCTGTGAAGCCAAGAAAAAGCCTTCTCTTCCAGCCTCATTAGCTATCAGCACTAAGTTCAGGTGCTTGGCTGAAGCCAGCAGCCGGCTCTTCCTCATTATTAACTGTGATCTTTTATTAGCTGTTGGAGACTGCTGTTGGCTCCTCCGAGCAAGCTCCCTGCCATGGCAAATAGAAGCAGATCCCTCACACATGCACATGTGCACATTTAACCCTTTTGTCACTATACAGTGGGATTTCTTTGGGATTTCAAAGGAAAAAAAACTCCAAAGAGCAAAGGAAAGGGGTTTTTTTGGGGGGGGGGAGAAATAAATCAGCTGCGATGCATGTCTAGTGAAAAGGCTGCTCCTCACGTCACAATATACTGATTAGCCTTAAAGTTGCTTTGTTGTGTTAGCTACAAAAACCAAATTGGCCAACCTTCTGGAATGTGTCCTAGATGCACTGAGTAGGCTGTGGGAAACCATCCAGGCTTAAAAGTGAGCCAGGGCTCATCAGAGTTCTGCCACAAAACCTGCTGTCAGTCCCCAAAATGGAAGGAAATAACAGAATGGAAGGAAATAACAGAAAAACGAGGCATGTGACAGCGTCTTCCCCTCAAGCCGCTGCATTTAACTTCCACCAACAAGCAAGGCATGAGAGACTGACAGGTCATTTACTCTAAGTTTTGGGTGATACAGAGGAGCCAGATGCTTGTGAACAACCCTTAGCAATTCCTGCCACCCATCCTGGATTACAGAGAGGCCCAGGAGATGAGATGTATTAAATTCTGCACAACACACCACTTCAGGAGATGGTTTCCCATGCTTCCACTGGTGTATTAGGCAAAGATGCATCCTTTTAAAACAAACTTGAACATCCTGGGGATGGAACAACAGTACACAGTTTTTTTTGCAAACAGAGAAGGCCACAGCAAATAGGAGGAGAGGAAGTTTTAGGTATTGCCCAAAAGATCCACTCTGAGAATACATATACAAAATTAACACTTTCTATTCTTGACTGATTTACACTTCCAACTTGGTTGCTTCTGGGATGCCTCCAAATTTACAGATTCAAGGGATACTAATCCAAAGATATCGTACAAATCGCTTTTCCTCACTGTTTGGTGATTAGATTCGGTTTTGTTTTCTCAGTAAAAGACACAGTGGGAAAGCACAGGAGGGTTGCAAATGGAAGACAACGATGTCTGGACACTAACTAGTACAGCTCCCCGCAATAAAATTCAGTGCCTTAGGCAAAGCGATTGCACAATCAGAGCCTGGTCAGTGAAGTACGAAGGATGCAAAAAAGTTATCCATTAAACATCCTTTTACCAGCGAGTCCTCTTCGGATTTCGAGAGTTAAACAGCACTGAAAAAATGATTTTCTCATCCCTTTTCTCGCAGGAACTACTGTTGGACCTTCAATGCTGTATCGACTACAAGCTTTGGTACTTATTCTGGATTACTTAATGCGGAGTGCAATCAAACAAGTGTATATACATGCTTGGGAGCGGAGGTTTATCACTATTTCGTAATCAGTATTTCAGGGCAGACGGTTCCAGCGCCTCCTAATCCATACCGTAGAAAAGCGGTATAAACTCCATGCCCTCCTTCCGCACACCAAATTAATCCGGGATTACTGTCACATTCTAGTTGTACAGCATTCAGCCATCGTGGTCAACGCGCACTGAACGCAGAGAAACGTGCATTGTTACGCACGTCTGCTCAGAAATAACTCCAACTAACTTCAAGGGTCTTCCACCTGGGTGTCCCTTGGCTGCAGTTCGGTGTCTATTTATGCACGAATTAAGTTTGCACGGAGTTGCGCTGTAAATAATTCGGGGTGCGGGTCCAACACGGTAGTTAAAGTTAACTATGTCATATTAAATGGAAGCTGTTCTCCTCGGGACCAGCTAATTACCTTGACCACGTATCCCGATCTCTATTTAACGCAGAACCAGTCATTACTTTAAATTTCTATCTAGCAGCTACGTCTTTTTCCCCCTCCCATGTTTACTCTAGAGTAGGAACAGGAGGCCGATTCAAACTGGTCCCCTAGCGTGAGGTGCGGTCTGACGTTCACAACGGCAAACTTTAACCTTACACGTGTGAATCCGAGTTAACTCCTATTTAACCAAATCACACCGGTTCTGCCAGGCAGCTCACACCGCGTGCATCCAAGGCCGCTGCGGGAAGCCCGAAAGTTTGAATAAGATCCCTCCGGATCTCTCTACAGAATGAAGCCAGTGGTCCTAATGAGTTATATACCTCAGTCGCCCACCAGAATGCGGACCATAGCCCAGACCGGAATCCGAATTGCAGATTTTGCTGTGTTCCGAAACGGACTCCGGTCCACCCCCATCCCCAGTCGCCTCCCCTGAAGAAAAACAAAAACTCCTGGCGTGACTCTTACCTACGAAGACCCCAACGAACCACCACGATCGAAGCATTGCAAAAATAAATCCAAAATCGGCGTGCAGGTCTTTGCAAACGATCGCCAGCAGGCAAGATACGTGCAAAATTTTATTTTTTTTAAAAAATGGAGGGACGCAACCAGGAACCGGTGACGCTCAGCGCGCTCTGCCTCTACAGGGAAACGACCCGGGATCCATGTGCGGGCTGCTGCTGCTGCTGCTGCTGCTGCTCCCGAGGAAAAGGCGGCGACGGGAGGGGGTCCCGCGGTGAGAAAGGCCCCGACGGCGCGAGCTCGGTGGGTCGCTTTTGCAAGCCGCTTGCTCCGAGCCTTTTTCTTCTGCCTGCTGCTGCTGCGAATGCGCGGCGTGCTTCTTAGGAGCAAGCGACTGTCTGTCGAAAGTTTTAATGGAGCTTGGCAGCTCACAGGTTCACTGGCCAAAAAAGAGGTGGAGACTCTTCCGCGCGTATTTCCCTCACCTCCCGCACTCGCGGATCGCGTGTTTCAAATTCCCACCCTTCACGCTGCCGTGGCCGCGTGCGAATATTGCCCTTTCTGGGAGAAAGTTTCCTTCCCCATCACTCCACAGGCCAAAGAGCCGAGAAGCGCCGGGGGGCTGACACAGCTCTCAGCCACCGAGCAGTACAGACTCGCAACTGGTGATTTTTCCCCCAGACTGTCTTTGCAAAAGTCCATGCTCTCAGCTGCGGGGCCGACCGCCTTTTAAGCTCTTGCGAGGTTTTGCAAAATGTATCTTTGCAAACCGCGATGGCTGCACCAAAAACGGGGTAAACACGCATCTGTGCGTCTCATGCATATGTTCCCCTTTCCCCAGGGGACTCAAGGAAGTATATGGAACTCGGTCTCTGCCTGCCCTCTCATACAGTTCAGCTTTACAAGAACCCCACGTGGCACCCCGGGCCACGGCTGGACCGACTTTTTTTGGGGGGGGGGGTAGAATTTGAGTGTGCCTGTGCAAAAGACATATGTAAAGAATTCTGAACCCAGTGATTAGCTCTGACAACCGGAGCTGAATAGATCTCAAAGGCCATTCCCGGCAGACTAATTTAAGAGCCATGTAGTCATTTTCGAGCAGTTATTATAATTACGTTGCATTTATAGCAGGCCTTTCTTCCTCTTGCGAGGAACCCAGAGCAACTTACAAAGTTCTCCTTTCCATTTTCTCATCACAACAACCCTGTGAGGTAGGTTAGGCTGAGACTCCATGACTGGCCCAAATTCACCCAATGGGCTTCATGGCCCAGTGGGGATTGGAACCCAGTTCTCCTAAGTCCTGGCACTCCTAACCCCTACACCACACTGGCTCCCCACCACACTGTGCTGGTTCTTGTTAAGCAATTAGGAGTTGCAAATCCTTGAACCTACTTCAGTTTTCCTGGAGATCTACTTGCAAATCCCACTTTACTTTCTTCTCACCTCTGGCTTTGGCTGAGATATAAGAAAGGACTGACTCAAAACAGACACACAGGGATTTTAACTTCATCCTACATAGTCACTCTCTGTAATCCTTGGATGCCATTACACAGATAAAGGAACTGCACCTTTCTGCCAACCTGGTGCTCTCCAGATGTGTTGGAACTGCAAGTCTCATGTTGTCTGAGAATGATGGGAAGTGCAGTTCCAACATATCTAGAGGACCCTAGGTTGAAAAAGACTGAACGACAGCAGCTGGCTTGAAAGCAAAATTGGGCTGCTGCTTGTTAATTCTGTCTCAGGAAATTCTTCCTTTATTTCACTAAATTTCCTCTAGAAACATTGTTTTCTTCCTTGGTCTACAGCCGGTTACGGAATGGGTGGGGGTGGGTGGGAATCACCTAATTGTTTTTGACATCACATCTTTTTATTGTAGGGGTGCCTTGGCTTTCACTGGCTCTGCTCTTAGACCTCAATACCTCCATAGCCAGTGGTGTACAGCAAAGAATGTGGCTGCTCATGATAACATTCCTGCACATGCACAGGTGCTGAGCACCCCTGTCCTTACTCTTAGGCAGAAGGAAGGAAGAAATAATCAGGCCACTGAATTGGCATGTCATGAGAGGGCAACATATTGCGAGTTATTTAATACATTCTTATTGGAAGTTTACTGAGATACTATGCCAAAATAACTTAACTAGTCTTGGATCCTAGGCCAGTTTACTGGGAAAGAGAGGAGTACTGGTTGCTGCATCTTAAGTAGCAAAATGCCAGGGTAGCTGCAGGGTCCCCATCCTAGGGGAGCCTTATTTCAGATTTATCTTGCATAATCTACTAAGTGAGCAATCCTGTGTCCCTGGGAGGATTGGTTTGTTCTACGAATTTAGGAGAGGTGCTGAATTCCGGTCCCTGTCCCTGCTCCCTGGCAGCTGCTGTGGAAATAAGCCCTTGGCTACTTCCCAAGGTCACAAATGCAGCCTTGGAGAGAAGCAAAAGGATGTGATCCAGGGGAAGAAGGGAATCAGGATCTGAGAAATCCTATGGCTAGTCCAGTGGAGCTCCGGGCAACATGCTGTCTCGAAAGAGGCTCAACGGCCAGACTAGTGGAGCTTTTTGTAAATTGGCCTCTAGCAGGTGTCCAATAGAATTTGGTGACTTGGAAGCCTCCAATCTTGGGGGCTTCCTTTTAGGGGACACAGAGTCCCATGGATTGTGCTCCGAACTACTTTGAAAAAACCGGGCATTTGCAAAAGGAAGGCTCCTACCTTGCCCAGCTCAGGAGGCACCGTGCTGCTTTTCTGCCTTTTCTTCCATTAGCGATTATCTACGGCAAGCAATAAGATGAAGGAAATAACAGGAAGTTTACAAGTGAACGATGATGCGTGCACGGCAGGACTTCACACAGTGCATAGTCAAGCTATGGAGTTCACTGCCACAGGAAGTCGTAGTGGGGTTTTCATGGCAAAGATGCTGGAGTGGGTTGCCATTTCCTTCTCCAGTGGATCACGTTTTGTCAGAGCTCTCTGCTACGACCTGCACGGCATAGCTCATAGCTTCACTGAGCTACGCAAGCCCCTTCGCCACGACAAGGCAGTGATCCATGAAGGAGGTTGGCCACCATACTGGATGTTAAAAAGGGGTTGGCCAGATTCATGGATGAGGAGCTTATCCGTGGCTGCTAGCCTTGCTGGCTGTGTGCTAAGTCCTACCTTCGTTATCAGGGGCGGCATGCCCACGTCCACCAGCTGCTGAGGAACATGGGCGGGCAGAGCTCCTGTGCCCACCTTGCATCAGGGAACCTGCGGACTTCTGCTCCGCCACTGTGTGAATGGAGTGCTGGTGTGGATGGGGCAGTGGTCTGATCCAGCGTGTCTTTTCTTACATTGTTACAGGGCCTGCCCCAAAAAACAGCTATGGGAAGGAGAAGGATCCTGTAAGCTACCTTGAGCTCCTGGGATGAAAGGTTGGATGAAAAGTAACTACTAATTTTCAGGAACGTTGCCCTTCTGGCAAGCCTGGTGGATCTGTTTATGGCTTAAGCGGGGCAGCCTTCCTGCATTCCCCAGGCAAAAGCTGGCAGGGCTCTGCAGCAGCGAGGGGCCAAAAAATGGGAAAGCCTGGAGAAAAAGGTGGACAGCACCACCAAACCCATTCTTACACACACACACACACACACACTTTTGGTACTTATGGCAAAGAATCCAACAGTTCCATACTGATCCAGAGTAAAAATATAGTAAGATAAATGCTGCTGTGGTGTAAAACTCTTCAGGGTGCTCAGACTGCCTGTGGCAGCCGTCCCAGTCTGTCTGATAAAGCAAGTCCCAGACAAGCACGGATTTCAGCATCTGCTGGGAAAGCACAGGGCATCCCCAGCCAGCTGCACAAAAAGTCCCAGATTCTGCCAATGATGATAAGGTGGGTGGGGGCGCATAGATATGCATGTTTTCCCTGGGGCAACTGTCTATCTAGACAATGATGTCACTTCAGGCCCGAAAAGGTGGGCTGAGCATTCCCAGAATTTGCAAAGGAGCCACTCCCACAACTAGCATGTGCTTTTGAGTCCAAACTAAAGAATGGTCCAGCTCTGAGGTGGCATCAGGAGCATGTGATTCAGCCCTCAAGGGCATTGAGGCAAAGGACGGTTGCAGGCTTGCTTGAGGAAAGGCTTTGGTTCTCGGGCATCATCTTGGCCAATCCACATGGTCTCCTGCTTGGAAGGCTGCCTTCTTTCACCATTCTGCTTTCCTTCCACTCCATGCCTTTCCTACCTGTTGTTGCTTTGAGAGACTCTTGAAAAAGTTCAGCATCTCCCAGAAACAGCATTTCTGCAGGCAGAGAGACAGGGCCTGGGGACAGCAAACTAGAAGTGGAGTTTTTCTGCTAGGAACATGCTGTGCAGACAAAGAATTTATCTTTGAGATATATTTACCAGTATTTGCAAAAGCTCTTTGTGGCTTGTACATCTTTCCAAGGAACTGGAGTGAGTGTATGGCAGGCCTTGGCAGGTGTTAGCTTGAAGAAAAAGGCTACAGCTTGCATCTCACCTATGCAAGAAACCAAGTGGCATCTTGACAAGTGAGCTCTGTGTTACAAGATAGCATGATGGTTGCATAAGTCACCTTTCCACAACCCGGCACCATCCAGATTTGTTGGCCTGCAACTTCCCAGCAAGCCTGGCCTGGTTGGGAAAGTTTGTCATAAGCAAGAGGGTGCATGCATTATTCTTACAGCACCAAAATGAAGACAGGAAGAGGTCTGATTTCCATACCACCCATTGCTCAGAAACTTCATCAAGAACTTAGGAGAAAACAGGGCCAACGGAAGATACTTGTCCTGCTATTTCCAATCTAATAACTTTTGCGTAGTGATCTTAAACAGAGCTCATTCCTTAGTACAGATCCTTAGGTTGGCCAAGTAGCTCCATCCACACACATCAGGAGGCTTGGAGGAACACCAGGGTTAGCAAAAACAAAATCTTTTTTTGCAGGGGGTGGGGTTCACGGTGGGCTAACAGGAGGCTGCTACTCCCAAACAGTTCTGCAGATGGTTCAGAAACTTCAGCGGACATAGAATGTAGCTGTCTGACTCTTGATGGAGGTGAAGGCTTGGTATCACAAAAAGCTCAGTTTTGCCAAATGCTTCTCACTGTGTTTCCAAGCCCAA